GACCAGCCCACCGATGACCCCGGCCAGGACTTGATGCTCTCTGCAGGCTCCAGACTGAGCGTGGAGCCGACGCTGGAGCAGGCATCCCTGCGGGGAGAGATGAGACTCTGTTAGCTCTGCAAGCGCAGGCAAGAGGGCCAGCGGCACGGGGAAGGGGTCCTGGAGCACATGTGAGGGTGAGACCAGGCACAGACCAGGGACTCCTTCACAGCTCCAGCAATGGCGGCTCCAGCTGGTGGGCTCTGCTCTGGCTGTTCTGTGGCACCGGCACAGATCGGACAAAACAAACCTTTTCAGACAACCTGGTCCTTGTGCCATTGCTGCTGCCATTAACTATTTCCCTCATGCTTTTATAAGTGCCCTGTAGCCTGCAGACAGTGGGCAGGAAAACCCTGCTGCTGCCTGCAGTGCCCCAGGACCGGAGCTGGAGTGGCAGAGCCAGTGTGACCCCAGGCACCCCGCTGTGCCCTAATCACCCCTGGGCTGGCGCTACCGCTGCCCCCCTGCCAGGACTCCCCACTCCAGCTGCAGCAGATTAAATCCTTTAGGATCTCCGTTTTCCTTCAAAGCCACAGATCAGCTTCATATTCTCAAAGTGCAGCCAGGAGGAATGAGCGCATCCCACTCAGTGTAACAGACAGAGCTCCCAGGGAAAGCGAGCAGGTCGACAGGCATGGGAGGCACACAAAGCCAGCGCATCCGAAAGCCCATCTGTGCCCGAGTGGAAGCGCGGTGCCTCAGCAGGCTGCGGGCAGCTGGTGGTCCATAACCCATCGCACAACCCAGCGCAGGCTCCTGCCGTTCGGCTGGCAGCTCCCCAGGGCTCACTCACGTCTCCCTCCTAGAGCAGAGTGACTCCCGCGCCGTCTGCACGCTGCAACCAAGGGACAAAAGAGGGAGTCAGCTGCGGTGTTGCCGATGGCTCGCACAGCCTCCCCGAAGCCACCGCGTGAGTCTGATGTGATGAAAACTTCCCAGACTAACTGTATCAAAGCTTGCTGCTGTGGCTGCCCGTACGATCAGAGCAGGATTATGCCTGAGCTGGGTAACATACCCCCCCCAACAGCCCAAGCACAGCTGCAGCGGGGCAGCGGTGGGGCCATTCCCAGCACGCTGCATGGCTAAAGACCGCCTCACCTGCTCCCTGCACCCTTCAGGCCCTGGTCTGCAAGAGGGACCCCAGTGCACGCACCCCCAACACAGAGATGGGTGCTGCTGCAGCGTATGTTGCATTTGCACTCGCAGAACACCTCCGCTGTGCCCATGCTGGCGAAGGGCAGGGAGCAAATTACACCGCTTTTCCTGCACGCAGCAGCTGCGGATGTCCCTGCCGGGAAGCACTTCTCACCTCCTGCTAATGTGTCAATTGTATTGGAAATAACCTTTTTTTTTATGAAGAAGCAAATTTCTGAGCTCACGGTTTCTATCTCACCCTTCCCTAGTTTAATCACTACATAAAGAAAATCTCTTCTCATGGCACGGTGACAAGCACATCTCTGCTTTTTTTTTTTTTAAATGCATTTACCTATTTTGTCTCCATTTGTCACAATGCCCCTTTAGCAGTGTAACAGAGGGGAAAATTGGAGGGCTGTAGAAATAACACCTGAAAAATTCACTGGAATTCGTTTCCCATTTTTTCCTAGTAAAATCCTCTACCCAATCCGCCCAGCTCCACTGGTTCCTCCAGCCCCCCAGCTCCTGTGGCTGAACAAAGTGCAGGATTTTCAATCCATAAATCCAGCGCTGGGGCACCTGCTGACACATGGCAGCACGCCACGCTGCTAGGGACAGGACCTTGCTCTGCAAATGGGGCTATTTCCACCCTTTTTGCTTACTTTAAGCTGGGCCACACAGTATGATTTTAAGGGTGACGCTTTTTCATGAAACCTTTCATTAACATGAATTTTCTTGTTCATGAACCTGTGCTGCTGCAGTGAAAATGCTCCAGGATGCAGATGTGCAGCTATGGCCACCATGGCATCACCCTTGCACAGTGCAGCATCCTTCCCCACCGCAAAGCATCTGAGCCTGCCCCTCTGTCCCTCTGCAGCCCCCACAGCCCTGCCAGCCCCCGGTGCTCCTCGTCTCACCTCTCGGCATCGCTCTCGTCGCTGGACCGCAGCTCCTCCAGGGCCACCTGCAGGTCGGCGATGCGCCGGATGGAGGTCCCCAGGTCAGCCTGCAGGACCTGCCGCACCGCCGCCAGCTCCGCCAGCTGCTGCTCCTGCGCGGACAGCACCGGGTTAGCACCCGCACCCCAATGCCGCACCCCGAACCGCGGAGCAGGCGAGCGAGGCATCTGCTGAAACTCCCCCCACCCCAGTGGTCTCCGTGCCACGCCAGGGCTTGCTACCTGCCGCTGCACTCTGTTGTGTGTGCAATAGCTTGTAAAATGCAAACTTCATCTTACATAAGAAGAGGAGCAAATGAAGCTGAGCGCCTCCGTGACCAACCAACACCCCCCACAACGGAAAAAGGCTCAGAAGAGATAAGCCAAAAATCCAAAAATCCCGAGCACTGGGTGGAATGTAAGGACCCACTGGCGATTACCATGTGGAAACTGAACTTAACTCTGGGGAGGGGAGGGTGACCTTGGTTTTAGGCACAAGGCTGCACCAGGGCATCATCAGGTTGTACAAACAGCCTTCCCGGAGGTAATTAGTAGAGAGTAATGTCTTCCTCAGCCAGCCAGACCAGCGTGGGGGGAGCATATATGTGGCCCAGCCCAACATAGAGTATAAAACCTGGACAAGTAGTAAAATGAACTTTGAAGAGAGCAACGGGCTTGAGCTGGCTTCAACCCACACATCCCTTCCTGGCAGCTGGGGATGCCCAGTGCTGTGGCGGTGAGTGTATAGAGACTGGGGACGGGCATCACGTCTATGTAGTGACTCGGGTGTATGTTGCAATTGCTGTGTTGTGCCCGTGCTGTGATTTCAGTACACTGCTGTATCGCTCTGCTAAATCAAAATGTAACGTCAATATACCAAATGAGTAAATCTGATATTAAACATTAACCCCCCTGCCCCGTGTGGAACATGTAAAAGCACCCTGTGTGGGAGCACCATGTCCCTGCCGGGGACAGAGTGGGGCACAGACTGCAGGGATGCTCCCGGGCGTTTTGGGGCTGTTCCTCCACTCACCCACACCACACACCTGCTTGGAAACAAAGCCCTTTCCAGAAACGCTGGCTGATAGAAAACCCAGAAACTCCATTCATAATTTAAACTACAGGGAGGAAAAGCCGGACGAGCAGCACAACCCGTATGGCTCCGTGGACCCATCATCGCCCACGGCTGGGCGGCCTCATGGTGCACCGAGGATGCCGACCCGGCACTGCCTGCCCACCGCAGCTGAGCACCACCGTGTTCATCAGATCCCGAGTCCTTTCAGCCAGGAAGGAAATCTTCATGCGGTTTTCTAAACCATCACACGGCAGAGAGAGAAAGAGAGCTAGTGCGAGCTGCAAATTCACCGAGATTGAAGCTGCCAGCTGTAAAATTGCCATCTCGGTGGTGACAAGCTGAGAGATGATTTGCAGCGCGGGCTGCGACAGGCCATAGCGCAGGAGCCGGCAGACTGTCAGAGTAAATAATGAAAGCCCTGGGATCACCGGGCACGCGGGCCCAAGGGGAAGAGCATTTCAGTTCATAAAAACATGCAAAGAAATATCCCAGTTTGGGTTGCACAGCATCACAGTTGCTTCTGGAAATGCGCCGGCATTGGTAAAACCTGCCAAGAACCTTTCTGAAACTCAGCGCTTCCGAGGCCTTTGCTTCCCTCCCGGCTCGGGCAAATGCAGGAGGATGGAAAGGACCCATTTGTCATGGAAACCTCTCCGAGTCACATGGGGATGGCCCATGGCCCAGGCAGCAGAGATGCTCCCCATGCCGGGGCTGACCCAGCAAACAGCCGGGGGCTCGGGAGGGGGCACATGGTGAAACGCTGACCCCTGAGAGGAGAACAGCCCAAGGGGAGAGAGCCCCAGGCTTCGTCTGTCTACACGCCTGTATTCAGTTATTTGTGATTGTGAGCCCAGGTAGTAAAACAACTGCTAGATAAAAAGCTCAACCCTTCAAACAGGCTGATAAGAGTCTCTATTGAACTAGTTCCTTGGCTCCAGGATATAGCGCAAATTAAATATAGTTCAGTGGCTGCATTTAATTCCTTTCTTCCGCTCTGCTATTATTAACCTGACAGTGACTGGCAGGGAGGCAGCCAGGCACACAGCGGCGCGCACCCCTCCCGGCACCCTGACCCCGCTTCCTCTGGCTGGTGACAAAAGAAATCCCCCGGGCGCAGCTGCGAGAGCAGCACACAGCGTGTCCCGGGCCAAGACAGCTGGAGGCAATGCACCCACTCCCTGCTGCAGAGCCCCTGTAAAAACCACCTGGCAAATGCCTGTAAAAACTTTGTGGCGAGCTGGGGCTCCAGCCTGGCTCCCCTCGGGGACGCCCCAGTCCCTGGGCACCCACGGACCGTGGCACCCACGCTGCACGGCAAGGAGGAGCCTGGCTCCCCTCAGGGATGCCCCGGTCCCTGGGCACCCATGGTCTGTGGCACCCATGCTGCGCAGCAGGGAGGAGTTTTGGGAGGGGGCTGCGCAGGGCACTGGGGGCACTTTGGGGACTGCACGGCCGTGGGCTCCACACACCGCGGGTAACCTTGGGGTCCCCTGCCCACATGCTGCCTGAGCGGCAATTTGAATGTAAGCCTGAAAATACCTGTTTCTTAATAAGAGTTGACACCGCTCAAGCACAGCGATACTGCTAAAACAGACTCCTTCCAGCGGAGGTACTATCACCACCGCCATCGCCCCAGGTACCTGGGCTGATTAAATGCAGAGGAAAGCGCCAGTCACATTCAGAGAACAATCTGGGACTGCTCCACACGTGCTCTCTGCCGAGTGACTCGCATGAGCCTATGCTCAAAGTGAATTTTAGCTCTCGGGGCTCAGGCGTTACTGTAAAGTGAATTCTGGTGATATAAATCTGCAGCAAGAAGATGTGGGGAAGAGAAATGATTTCTGTGCCCGGCCTTTCAGCTTGGGCTCAGCACATCCGCAGCTCGTGAGGATGCTGCAGCCAGCGAGGAGGAGGAGGAGGAGGAGGTCGACAGAGCCGTGGCCAGGCCAGGGGCAGAGTGAGAGGAAATGCCCTGAATAAATGCGCTGCTCAGCATTTTGGGCTAAAATCAGTGCAAAATAGAAAGGCTCGTGCTTACAGTCACAGAGCAGTTACATCAGTCAGCTCTGTACTCATAACGACAGTGCTGCGGTGGGGAGGAGGCTGCGAACCCCACGTCCCACCCATCCCAGCGCTCGATCCCAATCCCGTGCATGGAGGCACTTCACGTTTTACTCAAACATAAAGTATCTGTACCATACAATTATCTCGTGGAATGGACTAATTATGTCAATATAATTAAATTTGAAATGCAAAAAATTACCTTCATAATATAAATTGACAAGAATCGTCCCAGCATCAGGCCACTGCTATCCCAGGGAGCTATTAGGCACCTTTGACACATGTTGTTTCAATCTAAATGTAAATGCAAGAAGCATTTTCCCTTTTAATACAGCAACTGGTCTGAGCGTATACATCCTCACTCAGGATGAACTGCCGAGCATTGCTGGCTTTTTGTTTCCTCCAAGCAGAAAAGCCGGGAGGGGGGGGAAGGGGAGAATATATTTATTGAGAAAACTCATAACCCGCCTGTTCATGTGGCTCTGCTGAAGCAGGGGCACCGCCTGGGAGAGAAATGCTGCACGGAGCAGAGTGAGGGGTGGTGCACCCACGGCCGTGCCCTCTCCCCGTCCCCCCAGGCCCCAGGGATGAGCCCGTCCTCCCCCATCCTGGGCAGCAACCAGGAGCTGAAGAACTCACCCGGCTGCAGAGACACTGGGTGGTTGTGTTGCTGCACCCTGCCAGCACCTCCACCCTCAGCAGAGCCCCACCTCACCCGAGCACGAAGGGACCTGCTTCCCCCCTTCCCGGCTGCCCTGCGTGTTGTGACTCGGTTGCCGCAGCCAGAGCCAGCCGGCCGCTGCTCTTCACCACGTGCGAGAAACCACGCACGACGCCGATCAAGAGGCTGCCGGGGACTGGAGCGATACGCCGCACTGCGGCTGGACCTCGGGGGATGAAAGGTGACTTGCACGTCATTTTGCCTGTGTTATTCATCGTTAATGGCCTGTTATCGGAGCCCCCGTGCTCCGGCTGGCGCTGATGATGATGGGGAACCCGGATGGCTGCTGGGGGGGCTGCAATCAGAGGAGCTGCACTGATGAACGGGGCTTATAAAGCAACAGCTGCCAGGCGAATCAGTCCTTTCTACCTAATCAAGGAGGGAGCGAAGGCTGAAGCAGCTGCCCTCACGCTGCACAATGCCTGGAGAGCAAGGCAGCAATTTTCCAACTGTTCATGAGGTTTCTTCTTCTGCTACCCTTTAGCCTCCACAGGGATATGATATGCATTGCACTGCAAACTGATCCGTGGGGGGATTTCACCCCCAACCACACACATATACCTCAGCCAGGCTGCTCTTGCCAGCCCACGGCCCACCAGGAGCAGTGCTGGGGCTGCTCCATGGGAGTCCAGTACCTCCCCAAAAGACGTCCCGCAAACAGAGGGGGCTGCTTGCTCAGGATGGGAACCCCACAGCCATCGGGTCAGGGGCCAGCACTGGAGCTGCTGACCAGGAAGGACCGCACAGCCACTCACATCAGCCCTTGGAAGCACGCTTCCTCCTTCTCCCACGGAAAAGCAAGGATTATTGGCTTCTCCCTTGCAAAGCAGCAGATACCAGACTTGCAAAAAGCCCCAGTGCTCCTGAAAGGAGCTACGGCTACTGCCACAAACCAGAGATGGTGAAGCAGAACTAGCGGTCCTTTGCTTCACGTGTGTGTTGAGTTTTCATTGAAAAGCTCTACTAATTTCTTTCCTGCCTTGCAGCGGTTTGGAGCAGCCCTACCCTATCCGTCCTCCCGGCCAGCAAGGAACCTGCCCACACACCCGGCCGCGGCACGGGGAGCATGGGGAGAGACGGGGACATGGCACCAGCTCCGAGCCCAGTGAAAAGTGCACTGGCCTCTCAAATGGGGGCCGAGGGCACTTCTGCTACACGGGCTCAGGAGCATCCTCTGCTGTTAAACCCTGGTCCCTGTTGGCACCAGCATATCCGGATCCTTCTACCAAACCAGTCAGGCACTCACAGCAGAAACCA